AAATAAATAAATAAATAAATAAATAAATAAATAAATAAATAAATAAAGTAAAAATAACTTAAACCTTTGGGAAAAAAATAAAAGAAAAAATCTTGTGATCTTGGGATAAAGACTTTCTACCTGTGACACTGAGATCATGACCAATAAAAAGAAAAATTAATAAATGACTTTATTAACAGTTAACCACTTCTACTCAGCGCATCACTCTTGTCAGGAGAATCAAAAAACAAGCCACAGACTAGGAGAGAACTTTCACAAATTTTACAAAGGACAGGTGTCCAGAATGAGCTCACTAGACTAAATAGTAAGAAGGCAAAAAGTATGGTTTTATACGTGCAAAGGATTCAAACAGTTTAGTAAATATGATAGATGGGCATAGAGAAGGGGTGCTTGGCACCCTCAGCCATGAGCAAACACTAGTTCAAACCATGAGATTCCAGTACACTCGTACCAAACTGACTTCAAGTGAGAGAAACACCACCAAGACGACTCAAGGACATGGAGAGCTGGGAACCCTCTGAAAGCATGTTTAGCCTTGTAGTTTGAATTCCCTTGTCCTGGAAATGAAAGAAAGATCCACACATATAACATGCCTGGTTCCAGACAAAGCACGCCTGGAGACATGGAAGAAGGAGTAGAGGGAGGTGGTGAGGTGTCAGAGTGTGGGTGGAGGTGTGGAGCCTAAAAGGGAGATGTAGAGGGGAATACAGATATGAGGAAGGAGACAAGACAGGAGCGGTAGAAACACACGCACCCTGGTTAGGACTTGGGACAACTTAAGTATCCTGGGTGCTGTGTGCATACTCTGTGTTTTACAATTCAGTACATAAGATTAAGGATGATTTTTATGAGTCTGGATTTTTTAAATCAATCTTAATTTTGAAAAGATATTTAATGGGGTTGCCAATTATCTTTTTCTAAGAATAAAATTCAAACCAGGATACACTTTAAAGCTCTGATTTTACTAGCAGTGGCAGAAAGATCAATACCAGAGAAAAAGTAATAGTGCTCAGAAATGTGCTTTTTTTTTTTTTAGCACATAATAGTAAGTGCCAAAGTCGCACATTTCTTCAACTGAAGGATTCTACTCCCCAAAGAGATGTCAGTCCCACTGGGGTCTATCCATACTGAGCCACAAAGAGCTGAAACAGATCACAGGCTATTCTGAGCAAGCACAGCTTGTTACATGTGGGCCGCTTTGAGCATGTGACTCCTGTGTATTTTAACTTTTTTGTGATTCCTTTTTATTTTATTTTTACATGTGTTGGTGTTTTGCTTACATGTATAAGCCTGTATGAGGATGTCAGACTCCCTGGAGCTGGAGTTACAGACAGTTCTGAGCTGCCATATGGGTACTTGAAGTTGAACCAGGGTCTTCTAGAAGAACAGCAAATGCTCTTAACCTCTGAGCCATCTATTCAGTCCACCCTGTATAACTTTTTAAAGTGTAGGATTTATAAATTCATCAAACCCAAACTCATTAAAGGTGATAGAACTTAGAGATGCTTTCTCACCCAAGCCCTAGACCCTGTCTCCCTTAGGTACCCTGGATGTTCCCAGAACCCACTGAATGCTGTGGAAAATGCAGTGCATATAATGTCTCCAAGTTGCTTGTGGCTAAGGTAGACCCAGAGCACTGTTCTTCAACCATAGCTCACATGGATTGGCTAAAAAGAGCAGAGTTAGGAGAGTGCAAGAGACAAGAAGAGCCAATTCAAAGTATATCTGAGCCATTAAACAAGTGCAGAAGCCCATACAGAAGGCAGGTAAGTCCAAACCAACCTTCTAAGGATGGAGCCTGGCACCTGGCTGTCTACTATCCTCTTCTTCCTGCATATGTGCATTTTCTAATTAAAAAAAAGGTAACAGGTGTGAGAGTGTCATCCTGAAAGGTGCTATTCCTTCTATAGGATTTCAATATTCCCACTTCCTCCCCTAAAGTAGGCACAGACAGCTACAGTGCCTCAAGTCTGACAGATGATGAACAGAAAGCCAGCCTTTCCACAGCACTGAATAAAGAAAAGAAAGGAACTACCAGCTCCTCCCACTGTATTGCCAAAAGATGCTCACCAAGGGCCTGGCCCAGTGAGGATTGAGGATAAAGGAATACAACTGTACCCTATGTCATGTTCCTACCAATTCCTGATCTTACACCAGATTTCAGCCCTCAAAGAATGTTCTGCTGGGATTATGTCCTGAGATGTTAGAGACCAAACTTGAACAGCTCAGAGAAAATCTAGTACAAAAAAACCTTGGGGTTCACCTCAGATGAGAAAAAGCTCCACCTAATGGAAGTTCCCATCAAGCCTGAATGCCAGTTTGAAATGCAAAAATTGTCAGGCCCTATTTGTGCAGGACCATGAATAAACCACATTAGAAACTCAACACTGGTCGGGTGGTGGTGGCGCACGCCTTTAATCCCAGCACTTAGGAGGCAGAGGCAGGCCTGGTCTACAGAATGAGTTCCAGGTCAGCCAGGGCTATACAGAGAAACCCTGTCTCAAAAAACCAAAAAAAAAAAAGAAAAGAAAAGGAAGAAAGAAAGAAAGAAAGAAAGAAAGAAAGAAAGAAAGAAAGAAAGAAACTCATCATTGACTCGTTTTAGTCTTTAATTTGGAAAATAAATGGCTTAATATTTAGGTTCTTTCACCAGTGAGTGAAACTGGAGATTATGGGATGGCAAATGAGTCTCAGATTTAGCATGACGATGATGAAATCCTTAACTCCATAGTGAAGTTGATCTCTACTCATAGATCTCAGCTTAAACAGTCTTAGACTAGTCTGGCAAACAGCTCATGAAGGTATTTTGGTGCCTTTCTTCTCTGGAAACACACACACACCAAACACAAAGCATGTGTGTGTGATGTTGCAGTGACGTGTGCACTTACCTCCAGCAGCAGCCGTCCTTCCTGCACGGGGAACCCTCTGTATGAGTGGTCTTCAGGTGTCAGGGCTGGAGCTGACCATATACATGTCTCCTGCAAGGCTGTCAGGGAAGAATGAACAAATAAGTTCTCTGCAGAGCCCAGGCCTGCTAGTGGTTCTTAAGTCCTATGTTTCTGTGTTTCCCTGACTTTTACCCAATTGTTCTTGCTATATGTCCAACTTGGGCTGTGCTATTGTTCTCAATAGGATATGCAGGATCTCCACGAAGTCCTAGAAAGCTGTATGATTGGCAGGAAGAGCCAGTTGAAGTTCTAGGCCAGCATGGACCTGGAAGGTGCCTAGTGTAGAAGGGTACCTAAACTCATGTACTATCCTGCCTCATCTTGGAAACTGCTCTTGGCTTTCCTGTCTACCCAGTCTTGAGACAAAGTATGGCTTCCTGCCAGGTTCCCTCTATGAACAAGGATCCCAAGGTCCCTTCAAGTATCTCCTGAGACCCAGTACCATTGGATCCCAACACCACTGATAGTTACCCTTTGGAAGACAGCCTGTCTGTCATCTGCTTCCAGGCTAGATCAAGGCCCCCAGAGTCCACTCATTTCCTATACCTTCATCTCCCCTGGAAGGGAGCAGGCTGAATGCTCTCACCTGGAGGTAAAGGAAGTCCCGTGAGGATGCTCACCGCCTCCAAAAACTGCTCCTAGACCTGTGAAGATGCCCACCTTCCTGGTACCCCTATTCACAGCTGGTTTGATGGCTTTGGGATGGAAATTTCTAAGTTCTCTTACTAAGCTGGATTCTAGTCTATGGCAAACTGACTCCCCCTCTACCATCCAGGAGACCCAATCCCAGACAGAAAGTTCCATTGTCGAGGGGCACAGCATTCTTAAAACTAATCACACTGTCTGTTCACAGCCCAGCTCATGCTGAAAAGGATGGGTTTGCTGGACTGTGCATATTATTCAGAAATAAAAGTAGCATTTGAATCAAAGTTCTATTATTTTTGTATCACATAGCTTGGTCTTGGCAAACCCTGAAGCCCAGGGGGTGGTGGTATTGTTTGATAATTCTTGTTTAGAATTTGAGCCTCGTTGTGACTTCATGTCTCCCTTTCTGAGCGGTTTCTACCAGTCTACCATCAACTGGTCCCATGAAACTGAACTCCCCCCTTTTGGAGCTCTCAGCATCTCCAGAGGTTTGAGGCATCTTGGAACTTGATAGTTATCCATGCTCCCAGGCAACTCTACTACTCTGGGATCCAGATACTGTTTAACTCTCTGCCCTACCCCACAACAGATCTACACCTGGTCCTCAGAGTTAGCCTTTCTAGCTTCATCCAAAGCTGTTGTTTCTGTGGCTGGCAGCCTCCACTGTTCCAGAAAGTCCATGGAAATTACACACAGTCCTGCCCACATGCAAGGGTTTTGGCAGGGATGAAGAGCCCTATGTAACAGGCCACCCTCTCCTGGGGAGCCCAGGAGACTGTGACCCAAGTGGCAATGACATGACCTTTGGGACCTAGTTTCTTTCTCTTCCACTTTCAAAAGGCACCATTTATCACTCGTGTCTCACTCAACTAATGAGACTGGGTTTTCTGTTCACTACAGTAAGAAAAGAAGGTATCATTTTCTTTGTCAGAACTCAGATCCCTCCTGGGAAACTTGAGCCTCTCAGACAGTGGTTCTCAACCTTTCTAATTGGTGTGACCCTTTACAACAGCTCCTCATGTTGTGGTAATCCTCCAACCATAAAATTCTTTTTATTGAAACTTTGTAATTTTGCTACTGTTATTAATTATAATATAAATATTTTTGAGATAGTTTTGCCAAAGGGGTCATTGAACCATGGATTGAGAAACGCTGCTCTAGGAGGGCAGAGGGGTGGAGGAACCAGACTCCTTAAAGCCTCCCCACCAATCTTTCTTCATCACTTAAATTCCCTAGTCTGGGCCTCCTACACCAGATGCATTAATACACTGAGTTGTCAAATGTGTCTGCAGGAGGCCTCCAAGGGGTCTATTTTATCGTTTCCCTCTTCAGGATCTGTTCTGCTTCTCCTCTGGCAATAGGGAATTTACAGACTAGCAGCCCTTTGGGGCATCCCCAATCCCCTGGAAAATGTGCCATGGAAACTGCAAGAGTGAAATAAATGAGCTGCTATCTTCACGTGCTTGGGGTTGAGGGATGGGTGAGAATAGGACAGGAAGATTCAGCCCTTGTGGGTCCAATATAAACCAAGGCACCAGCCAAGCGGGCGGGCGGATTCCCAGCAGAGAGTTTCCTGATGGTCTGTCTCCTTGTGGAGGAGCACCGTTCCCAGCACCTCAGAGATTGCCCAAGGCTTCCAGAGTACTTAAGCTAGGATAGCTAAGGAGCCAGTATGCCTGTTGAGCCAGATCGCTGAACCGCTTGAGCACAACCAAGAATTTTACTAAATCCTCAGCGCCACCCACCCCCCAACACACACACACACACACACACACACACACACACACACACACACACACTCTAACCCCAACAGGCGGCTCCGCCTCTAAGCGCTGCTAAATCCAGCCTAGGCTGAGTTTCTGGGACTCCACCACCCCCATCGCGTGCCTGGCGCCTCTGGCTTCCTCCTGTGGCCACAAGCGTCACGCGATGGCTGCGATTGCGTGCGAGTGAATGGGGCCCCGCCTGGTAGACGCGGGGGTAGATTGGTTAGGGGCCTAGACCCGAGAGAAAGGGACAAAGGTGTGGTGGGGGGAGGGGGCGCTGGGTGGGGTCTGGATGGGAGGGTTTTGGATTGTTGCACCTCTAGTTCGGGTCCGTCCAGTAAACTCCTGCCTTGCTCCGGTAGCGGCCATCCAGAGCAGGGTGTCTCTTCGAGTCAAGGGTTGTGGAGGTCACTGAGACCCCACACAGTGGAACTAGCGAGTAAATGTGTAAGAGCCAACGGAGGGGTGCGTTGATCCACGCGCCTCAGAGAGTTTGTTCACTATTTCCTTCTGCTTTTTTCATGGCCCGACGCCCCCTATAGGCCTTCCCCTCCCCAGCAGGCTTCTATGCCAGTGAGCAGAAAAATCTTCAAGGCATCAACCACAAGTTTCTACCAGCTCTGTTCTGCTGTGGCCACTGACAAAAAGAGGGACCTACTTGGGCCACTCACTTGGAAATGAGCTGGATTCTTGTGCGTTGTGCCCAGCTTAACCTAAACCCACGGTTTCCTGTCAACCCTAGTTCTTCCCCCAACAATTGTAGGTGTAGGAGGAGCAGTAGGTCCCTACCCCAGGAAATTTAGTCTCTTGAGATTCTCAGGGACATTTGAAGGAGTCCCCAATTGGTCACAATCAACTGAAACCAACAAATATTTCACTTCTCTTATTTACTGAAACCTTGAAGTAGTTTATTTGGAACAGCAAGAATTTGAAGAGTTACCATGGAGGCAGTTGAAATTGCTACACACAGCAATGCAGAGAGTGCAGGCTATACTGGAAACCAACTCCCTAATAACATATTTCCCTTTCTCTACGACTCAGCAGACAAGTGGGCCCCCACTGGTGAATGCTACACACATATAAATCTAATGACTTCTGGGTGTCAGTTTAGCAAAATGTTCTCTGTGGTGGAGATACAAGAAGTCTGAACCATCTCTGTTCCTGGGTGGTGCTATAATGCCTGAAAATTCCTTACTCTCAGTTTGGTGATGTCAATTCGGACACCAGAATGGTGTGTCTGATCAGGCCAGCCATTCCTATAGTTACTCTCCCCCTGGACTTGCTGTGGTCAGAGACAAAGCCTGTGCACGAAGATAAGGCTGAGCAAGCCGACTGGAGCAGAGATGTTACAGAATTTTGGCTAAGTTTCCTAAGTGTTTTTTAAAGCTAACATTTATTTTAGATTGTCAGTAGATAGAGACATGGGTCGCAGGCAGAGAGGAAGGAAGGGTACAAAATGGATAAGAAAGAGAAGCAAACAGGGAAAAGGAAAGAAGAGGAAGAGGTAGGGGAGATGCCTCTACTCAACACTCACCCAGACTCTCCTGGTATTAAGCTGAACTGTCCTCCTGGACAGTTGTAATCTCTGATTCAGTTCCTGGGCAAGAAAGAGGTTTGTCTGGAATTTCAGTAAGCCAATCAACTTTAGTGTCCCAGAACTACAGCTGGGAAGGACAGGCCTCCATTAAGACTCAGTTTACAGCACCACAGTCTACTATGAACCAAAGACCTAAGTAAGCAGCAGAGCAGAAACAGAGTGGATAGACTTAAGATGACACATTGTCCAGGTCCTTTACTAAGATCATGTGTAGTTCAAGGTTCTATCAGCCAAAACCTGCCTCACATCCTACTCAATGTGAAGAAGGTGTAAGGACCCACAGACTTACAGGAACATCACCACAGTCCCAAGGTACACAGCTGTCATGTGGAACACTCAGAAGATCCCAGAGGGCAGGAACAAATAATTGTGAGGAAAACTTCTGGATTCCTGGCCACTCTATCTTGAGAAAGCTCCAGAAGTGAAGTAGCCTAGCGATGGACATTCCCTGAGAATGTCTTAGTACTGAAGGGGCTGCCATGGTGACATCAGGAGTTGGTTCCACAATCCTGTAATATACTCAAGGAGCCCTTTTGTGCAGCTAGGATGTTCAGTCTCATTAAAATATGAGGTGCACGGTGCTCATCTACAAATGAGACAGCCTGGTGATTCCCTGATGCACCTGCCAGGGATCAGGGCAGAGGATTCCTGTCACATGCACGGGATTTCATTGATTTGGAGAAAAATCCAGGAGTCTTTAGAAAGGACAAGTCTGATCCTCCTTGTTGACTGGCTTCAGATGTTGGAGTGAAAAAGTCCATACCCAAGGACAGTGCCCAGGACCGTGGCTAAGGTTGCTTTGATACATGTGACTTTCCCAGTCACACTGCTTACAATGTCTGGGGTTATTGCATATAGGGTATCATCTGAATCAGAGTCTAGAGAGGCAGGTAAGGCTTTCCTAGTGTGGATGGTGTCACACAACTGCTGAGGCCTGAAGAGAATGGAAGCTGGTGAGGGAGAAACTTCCCTATCCCCCTGCCTCTGGGTGAGCTGAAACACAGCCTCTCATTTACATCTGCTCCTGATT